TGGAGGTGGAGGCTGTTTGTTGATGTTTCGTGGACTTGAAGACGCCCACAAATTGATCCATTATAATTACTATAAATCATTATTTACAGTACCAGAGGAAACGTGACTCACTAATTAATATGAGCTTACTTGTGCATAATTATAAGGATGTTCACCGAGCTGAGGCTGCACAGAGGCTGAGCATCAGTCCCTATCTGCCCTGCCGAAGTGCTCTTGAGCAAGAAACCCAGACACCAGAGGGAGATAAAAAGGAGTTTCCTGTTTAATATCTCATTAATTTACTGATTGTTTTCTGCAGAGTGTGTTTGTGTGTGTGTGTATCTTCAGCTTCCACTTATGTATGTGGGCCATTTTTATTTTTTTCCCACCCTGTGCACCACTGACGCGTTTGGTAATGGAGACCACAGCTCGGTGCAGCATTTCCAGGATCTCTGCTGGTTAGGACCCGCCTGTTAGAGATGCAGACAGCCCGCTGTTTTTGGTGTGGAGGAATTACAGCGGGTTGCCAGGGCGGACAAACATCCCATCTTTTAAAGGAGGGGGGGAGAAAGCAGAAATCTGTATGTTCTGCACACATTGCTGCAGCTGTTGGATCTAATTCATAAAGATATTTATATATTTATATACTGGAAAATACTGACACACTTTCATTATGACTGGTGGGATAAATACATAAAATATTAAATAACAACCACCTTAATTCTAACTGTTATTCACGTCACAGTTTTAATGGCTGTAAGATACTCACATTTGTCTGTTAGTGTCAGCTTCTGCTCGAAATTATGTCCAAGCTCCTTATAATCCATTGTTTCCATTCAGGCGGATCGCAGTCCCTTTCCAGTTGCTGTCATTCCTCAGGAGTCGCGCAAGTACAGGAGATGAAACTCCCGGTACAGATCGCCCCCAAACACGCCCTTTGTAAATCCAACCGGAGTAGAAGGAGAAAAAAAAGGGACCAAAAAATTAAAAATTAAAAAAAATGTAATGTAGTGAATGAGACAGGATCCGACTGGAAACAGCTGGGAATGTCTGAAAATGTTGAATTGTAATAAAAACTTGTTAAAATGGGAGAGTCGGTCCAGTCCAGTTTGGTGGAAAATCTACAGTGCGGGAATAAAACAGCTTCAGTGACTCCTGAGAGCCGCAGGACCGGAGTCAAGGTACAAAGGATGGGGGGAACCACTTCCCGTCAGACTTTTCAGAATAAAATGAATCCGCACAATGTTTTCTTGATTTTAAACACACCTCAACCTTTTTTTTTTTTTTTTTTTCAATTAGAGATAGTTCAGCTTTCATCACGTAGATGGCTGAGCTGATCTCCAAAACAACAGAGAAAACAATCCAGTAGTTGGACCTTGAGTTCACTTTTATTTGTCTAATTATTCCTTCTAAGGTCAAGAATTACGCTCTATTGTAAGTAGTTGTTTTCTTTTTCACTTTTTAGTAATAAAGAAACACTTTATTTCCCCCCAGATATGTTTTATTGAGGTTCTGGCAACAATTAAATATTCTCTGGTTCTAAATATGTACATATATACATTGATACCTTATCAAAAACACAAAAACGAAAAGGCTAGAAACACATCTTTTAATATGTTTTTCTGATTTTCACAGACAAACCATGTGACGGTATAACATTCAACATACACAGTACAGACAGAATAACAAAATAAACATTAAAATAAGCAATGCATTTCAACAGAGGGCTGTTATACATAAATAAACACGATGATCTTGGATGACAGCTTGGAAGGATACTCAACAGATTTTCGAAGCATGGTCGTTTTGTTCATACTAATAATAATATAATAATAATAAACTTTAATTATATAGCACTTCTCTTAATATAGTTACAAAGTGCTTTACAAAAAGAACCATGCAAGTCAGATAAAATGACGATAAGGACATGCGCAACAGAGGAGGTAAAAACAATAAAATGAATAATAATAGAAGGTGTGGCGACAAATATTTTTGTAGCAGAATGATATCAAACATATATAATAACATATAAAACCCAAATATTGGCCTTGAATGTACCAGATTTAGCTTAATCTAATCATAAATCACAATGTATAACACTAAACAGATAAGACAGGACACATAATAGAAAAGTATTATTAATAATTTATCATTTTCTTGCTCAGAATATGGGTATTGTCCCAGATTATTTTTCTTCATGACAAAGTGGAACAGCCATAATGTAATTCCATTGAAACACATATTACTGCTATGAGTTCAATTAACAATAATATAAATGATTATTATTATTATTATTATTATTAATTACACGTGTTTAAGATATCAGACAGCTTTGATTCCATTTATTTAAAAAAGCTTTTATTCTGAAGGCAGTATTTCTCTATTTCCGGTTGCAGCCTCGTTCTCGCTGTTGCTAACTTGACGCCGCCGTTCGCAGCGAAAAACCGCATGCCGGATAACTGGACTGTACCAAGTATTTCGCTAGGGAAGAAACTCATTTAAACCATCAAACACCACGCCAAATAATGTATGGAGAACGTATTAAAAACGTGAAACAACACATCTGGTCGCCGTGAAGCCTCTCTCGTCGGGTTTAGCCGCAGTAAAAACACAGAAATGTCCTGTTAACTGTCGGTGCCCGGGAATGGTTTGATCCATCCCTGCTGCCTGGACCGAGGTGAGTTGTCATTACAGCTTATGAAACGGAGTGTATGTGTAATTACAGCAATTAGACATACTTTAATTAACAGGTAGTAACAGGAAAGGGCTTTTTCTTTTTACAATACATCCATTAATACTAGAATATTGATTTAATAAAGCTAAAATAAGCCTTAATTACCACAGGAAAACTTTAAATCTCATACGAATTAACAGAAAATAATAATGTGGTCTTTAGGGATCTTTATAAAACTACCAACAAATATGCTAAATATCTTCTGCACATTATAGAAAAAGCAGGATTTCTTTAAGGATGTTTATTTATTATTTTTGCTAAATGTTGCATAGGCTTTTACTAGTTGCTTAATCATGTTTCCCTTTGTATAAAAAGTGACAGGGCATTATCTGCCTGTATGCTGCTCAACATTGGTGATGACAAGCTGATTAACAATTGATATGACAGAAGGAGGTCAGTCTTCCTGGAGGAAATTTGCTGCCCAGTCTTATCTGATAAAAAAAAAGAGGTAGCAGGAGGGATTAAAACATAAAAACAGCTCATGGAAACAAACCCTAACATAGTATGAGATGTATATGACACCACAGTGGTTTATCTGGGGGAGTATTGGATCCAAATACAAGTTCTGGGAACATAAATGGGACTTTTGCTGGATAATTCAGATACTTTTGCATTAGTAATTATCATATTAATATGATAGTGTTCAATAGAACATCTCCTCTCATAGATGAAGATAGAAGAGGAAAAAGTGGCTTCTGCTGGGTTGAGGAGGACTGTCATTCATTTTTAAGAGGCATTTTATAAATAGTCTGACCAGAAACGCACACACCCACCCACAGTTTTTTTTTTTTTTTTTGGTCATTTTAATAAAAAATTCTGATTAATTATAGATGAGGTCATCTGTGTTCATGTCTTGTTTCCTTGAACCTGCAGGACATAGAGGATGGCAGTGAGAACAAACACAAAATAAATTTAAAAAAACCTATAAATTCTCTGAAAGCTCATTTTGAGACTCTTTAGAGCGGGAAAGATAATTTAACATAATCACAGAGCTATGCTAAATGCTAAAAGGCCAAACGTATGCGAGCGTTAGCACAGAGATAAAATATGCATGACCCACTTAGCTCGGTGAAGACACTAAAGACTTCATAGACTTCAGGACTTAAAACACTCGGGCTGCGGCTGACGCTAGAGACTTCTTCACATCCAGATCGTTCACTGTGAGGTGTTTCATATCCCTTTCCTACATCTTATAGGTCATCCTGAACACAAACATCGCCAGTTAAAACTCCAATAAATTTCACATGACTGAAAACTATCCTTAAAAAAAAAACACACCAGCTGACTTAAGCAGATAACAGCTTCTTTTTTTTTTTTAAGTATTCCTTTAAACGTGGTGGGAGGAGGTTAAATCAGATCAGGCTGTGCTGCGCTGAAACACTGTTAATCAATCTACCGCTGGCCGCCCTGCTACACATGAAAGGGGAGGACAAGCTGCTCCATCAGGGCTAATGCATTGGGTCTGAACTGCTGGTGCCTGCGAGGGAGCGAGCGGCTCTGTTGTTGAGTCTGGAGTCTCTGGTGAGATATTATTTCTTGATGCAGTAATGTGATTTTGGTAATACAAGGGCAGGAAATGTAATACAGCGGTGGGGGGCGGGGGGGCAGGCAGGCAGGCAGCGATCAATAAACCTTGCATATCTTGTTCATCTGCATGCAGATAAGTAAAATATTATATTGTTCTGTCTGTTCATCATCTGTTTTGTAAATGTATGCTTCATTAATGTCTTCAGAACGTACTTCTGGTCTGGTTTTACTGGTCCAAACTGGGCTGTAGGCTAAAATGAGCTTGACACCAAAACACTATAATATACTAATAATATATAAAATCCATATCGCAGCATTTGTTGCTACGTGTCTTCTTCTACATACCTTGAGTTGTATTTCTCCAGGAAAATCAAGACATGTTGAGAGGCCGCTTAATGACACTGATCACACACAGTAAACTTGTTTCTCTAGAAAATGTTGTTACTGTAAGTCATGTGTTATAGACGGGAGGGGAGGGGACGGGGTGTATTTCCAAGGACATAACCACAAAACAAATAAATTACCTAATTTATGAAAGCGCATCTTGATCTGTGAAGGGACTCTTTGTTTCACTGGTGCACTGGTTCCCCTCAGGTCTCATCTTCTATCTGCTGCACAACATCTGTTGACAGCCCACACTCTCTGTATAAGGACACATATAAGAAAATAACTAAATGATGATTTACAGTGTTTACCGTCTTGGTTTAGCCTGTTAACATTTTCTAATTAGGACAAAGTACAACAGAAACTGATGGAAATGTGATTTGTTAGCAGGTATTTTATCATAAACCAAAGTATTGGACAAAATGAAATTCATGATGGATTGAAAACATTAAATTTCCCCTCCAGTTAACAATATGTTTTTCTTATTGTTCCTACAGCTGGATGTTTGAGCTCCACTGTGCAGGATGATGTATGTGCAGAGTTTGACACTGGAAGGATGTTTTTTAACATTCATCTGCTGAAAGTGGAAAGTTTCTCTGTGCTCACTGGAAATCAGACTTTTAAGTGGAATGACAAATAGTTTGGATCCTGGTCAAATATGCAACAACAATGGACTTTACAGTGAAGTAGGAGACATTTTGTGTGCGGCAGGAAAACTTTAGGAAAGCATGTTCATGGATTCTGTCATTTTGAATGAGGTAGAAGAAGTAGATGCCTTTTCACACATTATTGTTCCAAGCAGACTATTTGTAAATGTTGTAATACGTCTGGAGGGGATAATTAAGGGATTACCAAAGTTATGACAATTCAACCGGAGGGTTGACGTGAATGTGTGGACAAAATCTAATGACTTTCTCAACAAGGGCAAAAATGTCAACCTAATGGTGGCGCTAGAGGAATAATCAAAGGATCACTAAATTCAGAAGGCTTCGTGCTCTGAAGACCTTCAACATCTCTACAAATGTTTATTACAATCCATCTGTTAGTTGTTATTTCAGTCCATGCCGCTAGCAGGGCTAAAAAACGAAATATAATGGACAAACAGGAGAGAAAAATCCTCAAATACTTTATCTCATCTTCATGTTCTGCTTCTCAAGGACTCCATAAATACACTGTGTGTCTTTAAACATGTTGGGCCTCAAGACTCGTGAAATTACAGCAGAACAAATTGTGCCTGCAGTCCACTAATGTACTGCCAAGCAACAGACATAAGCTCAAGTTGACATTGTAAGCTCTTCACACACAGGCAGAATCACTTTGGCAAGATAAATTAGTTTCATTGGATTCCCTCAGGCTATTATTGGTATCGTTAAGAGTCAAATATAACTTAATACACCCGGTAAGAGCACTTAAAAGCACGATTTTTCATCAGCGAAAGATTGATGAGCAACTGATTCAGTCTGCGTGTGTCGTTGAACCTTTTCCTACAGCAAAGACATTTCTCAATGAGACTTCCTTTGAGGGAGTGCATGTCCATACTCGCCTGCACCTGACTGAGACATGGGGAGGTTCAGAGAGCCTCCCATAAACCCATAGAGGCATGTCGTTAATTGCCCTGCCTACACACACTACCACAAAAGCACTACAAAAAGATTCCCAACAAAAAAGCCTGCAGTTGCACTTAAAACACTCGTCTGGATCCTCCCTGCGTGTTTGACCAGAGGGGAGAGCCCATTCCTGCCTGTTATAAAATGCTCCTTTCATTGTAAAAAAAAAAAAAAGTACACAATGGTTTGGTATTACAGGGCGAGTACACATATTTGGAGAGCACACTGCTGAAGTCAGAGTCTGAATATAACCACAGCTGCTACAGTGGGAGTCAAGCATGTCTGCAGTTGGTGTGGTTATCGAGAGCAGAGCCGAGGCAAAAAATCTCCATCTGATTTCCTTTGCGAGCAGATGACGCTGCGGTTCAAAGCTGGATCGCATCCTTGGTCTTTGCAGATGGAAATAAGCAGGAGGTATAAATAATAACTCTTTGACACGGCGTTGTTTTATTGTCTCTCCGTGACATTTCCATGTTTAACGGCTGCATCTGGTGAACACAAAACACCACGTCAGAGAGAAAACTCGTCTTAAAGCAAAAAGTTTAACATTTAAAGGGAAACAGGCGGATAATTTCGATGACAACAACACTTTAATATCTGCAATGGTAAATACGAAGCTACAGCAAGCAGGCAGTTGCCAGGCAACCAGCAGGAAACTGCCATGTCTGCGCCATGAAACAGCTTTTTAATTTAACAAACAAGCTATAACGTGTTAATTAGTGAGTTGTAGAGGTTCTGGTCAGAGGCTTTTGTTACTGATGGAACAGCCAAGTGAAACTGTTTCCCCTTGTTTCTTTACACTAAGCTTAGCTAAGCTAACTGGCTGCTGGCTGCAGACTTCAGTTTGCATTGGCAGAAACTTCATACAGCTTTGATACTTTGTCAGGAGAGTGAACAATAAACAGTGAGGCTGATATCAATGAGATACAATTACAGTACAGTAATGCTGGATTTCACACTACAACAGCTCCCCGGTGAATCCTTCACTTGTATGAAGGCAATCTGAATCCCACTGGGCAATGGCGGACCCTGCCACTAACAATGAAAACCACTTTATAGAGACATGCATTGCTGATAAGATGCTGACCATAAACAGTACCAAACTTTGATTTCATGAACTTTAAACATGCCGTTACCGATATGTTTTGGACACTTTGTGGCAGAAATAATTTGTGATCACAACATTCATATGAACTTGTTATCAAACAGTTGCTCATTTCACATCCAGAAGTTACAGAGCAACATAATCATTCACTTGTTTCTGGCCACCTGATGAATGTGTTCACTCTCTTTTAGCTCTGTTTTTGGTCTTCACCCACTCCTGAGGGAAATATCTGGTTCTCCAGCAGTTAAATACTCCACAATATTCACCAGTCTGTCTGCTGTTTGGTGCTGAGCAGCTAGTGTACAGTGTGTTTTTTAGTAAAGTTTTGGTCCGGACATATAAACAATGAGCTGAAACTCACTATAAAACTCAGTAAAAGCCGAGGGGAGCCGCAGATTCAGGTGATAATTCTCTCTAGGTGTGTCAATACGAGCGAAACCTTTCACTACTCTACTCTGTTTCAAACTGTTGCTTTAAAACAGAAAGAAAAGTGTTGTAGCCACAGTTGCAACAATATATAACATCTGATAAAGGGAGTGACTGATGAGTCCATTTGACCATCCCTGCCTCATGCCCAGTCAGTCACATTGCTCACATACAGAGCCACACTCCACCCCTCTGTCTGCCCTCTAGCAGTTGGCACAGTGGTGTCATCTCAAGCTCTCAGCTGTTACTGTGGCGTTACCACTGAGTGGACCGGCAGCTGTTGAGGGCTGCGGCAACATTTACTGCTTTATCATCTACAGCTTAGAGCATCAGGAAACTAGGGTGAGGATGAAACATATGGCTTTTCAGGAGTTTTTGGCATTCCCTTACATCACCATTATGGATGATTCATCTTCTAAAATATCTCAACACTCTTAGATCTCACTGACCTATACTTAATCATAGAAATAGAGACTAAATGATTGCAAAACATTTAATTTTTTATCTTTTTTTGTGAACAAATGCTGATTTAAGAAATGTCAGATACATGGGCCACTGCACATTTCAAGACAAAGACATTGCGTAGAGGCATTTTGATAGAGATAAACACAGGTCAGGTGTGTTAAAAATGTACATATCTGCAGTGCAGTTTTCCTTGAAAGCTTCAAACAGGAATCCAGACTCTGGAGTCATTGTAAAAGAAGGACTGCTTTGGCAAAATTAGTGGATTGTAGAAACCTGGAAAGAGGGAGAGAAAGTTCATATGAGCAACTGAAATACTCAGATTAAGACTTAATATATGTTTTTGCAAATGCTAACAGTTCAGTTAGAAATTCTGTACATGTGTGTCTCATATAGCCAGAGAAAGTAAGACGCAGTAACATATCTTACTTTACTTTCATACGTGGAAACGAGTTGTGCACTTTCTGTCTGAAAGTCTGAAAGTTTAAGTCAAGTTGAATTTTATATAACAGGACAGCGACCACTTGCACTTCTCTCTTGCCTCAGGCGATGAAGAGACAATGAATGTTCAGTGAGCGACCGCCTTGGTCTCCCAAAACTCAGGGTCATTCCCTCTTTTAATGTGTCACACAGTTTGATGTAGGTGGATAATTTACCCATTCAGCTGCAGGCCAGAAATGCTACTTGTATTAATCTTCCTCTCAAGGTCATTTATTGGTTGGTTTGTGACTGCATTGGACATTTTCTTTTTTTTTTTTTAGGATAACCTTTAAAACTTGGAAGAAAGATTTAAACAAATAGTATTCATGATTTATGATGGACGGAAAATACAGTAACAAAATGAATGTATTACATTTCTAAAAGGTATCAAATATGATAGCTCATAACAAAACAGTAATACAGCTACAATCTGTGAAATCTGTGAGGTTTGTGGCTTAACCAACCACATCTGGTCGTCCACTAATCCCCGGCCCTTCCTGCTGCATGTCAAAGTGTCCTTGGTCAAGATACTGAACCCCAAATAGCTCCTGATGCATCAGTGTGTGAATGAGTGAATGTGACACAGTGTACAGCGCTTCGAAGACTAGAAAGGCGCTGTGCGTGTACAGTCCATTTATCATTAACGTCGTCATGACCAATAAATAAATAACACAGGTAAAAGTACAACAAAACATAAAGTCAGAGTATCTTTGAGCAGCTGTTACAGTCAATTCTCTCTGACTTTTTAGGTGTCGAGGGGCAAAACCTAGAATGTAAGTTGTTTACAAAAGCATCATAACCAGGGTCCAACATTTACCTTTTGGCTCACCTACTAATGGCAGTTAAACTAAGAAAATGTACAATAAAAAACTGCCAATACAACTTTATAATGCATTATTTGACTAAAAGTAATTCCCTTCTTGAGGATCTTGTGATCACAGTAGGCACAGTGGCCATTGAGGGTCACTGGTGTTATTTTGCACAACCATATCTGATATGTAGATGTTTCTTGGACAGCCACAGAGCAACACACAAAGTTACAACTATCGATACATCGATTAAAAAGTGGGATTTAAAAAGTGGGACTGATGAAATATTGTCATCACATTTTTATGCACACCTACTTTTCCTTACAGGGCCTCATTTACATAGACTTAAGTCAGCATTTTACTACATTTACCCCCACGTGTAGGGATGCAAATTTATTGCAAACCTTATCCAATCCCAACATATTTATATACATATATTCTCTTTCTATTCTAATTAGATATTTCTACAACGAGCAAACTAGTGTGTGAAAACTGTGGAATTCCACAACCACAACACTGCAGAAGTTAGTATCTTTATACCTTTTTCTGCAGTCGTTGTGTGAAACGATTCGTCTAGATAGATAACACAACCTGGTGTTTGCATTGTTCTGCATCACCTCTATTTGTGTATTCACAGAAATAAGAAAAAAACAACCAAAAACGTGCTGTAAAATGCAACGTTTTATGTTTTATATTGTGGATTTCGGGTGGGTTTCGTCATTACCTGGACCTGGCCTCATATCGGCTCGTGACTTTGGAGGTACTCTTTCGGTTCTGGATGCAAACGCAGAAGTGGGCATGGGACGCTTGGACGGGCCGTTATAATTCCCTATGTCGTACTGCCCGGGGCCCGGCAAGGGAGGGTCCTTAGGAACAATCAGAGGTGGCGCAGATATTGCCAAATAATGTCCCCTCCTTCAAACACAATTAACAGAATTTACATTTATTAAACTAAAAGACAACATAACACAAACCCACAGCTGTGAATATGTGTGTATATACTCACGGCAGGATGGTCCTCTTCACCGGTGCAGGGGTCTGATGGGGATTGTAGGCTCCTGGTCCTGGCACACGGTTGTCCACTGGGTCAGGGATTCTCTGAGTTTTTGATTTGAAGGGGGACAGGACTGCCTTGGAGCCGTGCTGGATTGTGTTGTCATTCACTTCATAGTGGCCTTTAACACATTTGATGATGTGAAATTAAAACCAATGTTGATGAATAAGATTGTTGTATGACTTGACGTGGAGAAATAGAGGTAATTACATGGCGATGGCGCGTTTCTGTGCCGGTAAAAAGTGTCACGTCCAGTTTTTGACAGGAAGGTTGATGTACCAACCACTGGGGAGAATCTCTCTCTGCTTCCACAGCTGACCTGACCACACAGAGGAAACAACAAGCGAGACTTTAACAACAGGATGTGGTCTCAGAAGACAATCTATTAAAACCTTTTGCATACATACATCATATTGATTCGGCGCTGGAGTGTTGTGCTTCGGACCGTCCGGCTGCACAGCCACGGGCAACCTGAACACCCTGGAGGCTCCGACGTTGAAGTCGTACCTGTCTATCAGGGAGCTCGGCAGGTTGTACGCGTTTGGTCCTGGGACGCCTCTCAGCGGGTTATCGGAAACCCTGGCAGCCTGTTGGAGAGGACGATAGAGACGGAGACATTTTAATGTGAATATTTGGTGTATTCAGAGATAATAAGTACAATCTGAAAACAGTCCCTGCGGCTTTTTTTGGGATAGTTGAGGCCTAAATTGCCTGATTTCACTGCAGCTTTTTGAATAACTTGTGATGCATGTTGCTGTGTTTTCAGTGAAAAGTTTAAACTTGTTGACCTGATGAAGGCTGTAAAAGAAGATTAAGGAATTGCCTGATGAAATGAATGTGTCCTTTCAATCGTTATCAGATCGTCACTGCGATTAGGACACATCATCTGGAAATGATGAGTGTCTGTACAAACTTTATGCAAATGCATCATGACTATGTTGACATATTTCACATATATATATATATATATATATATATATATATATATATATACAGGATTTACACTGTGGATTAAGCTAAAATCAGGGACCCTGACCTTGGATGCAACAAAGCCCGTGGTGCCTTTCTGTGAGAAGGAAGGATGTTTGACTTCAGCGCTGGAGGAACAGTCATAGCTGCCTGGTCCTGGATTTTGGTTCTTGAAACAAACAAACATCATTATAGTTTGTGTTTTTAGTTTTTAGTTTAGCTGGTTTATTCTCATAGTGAGGTTGTTGGGAGAGAATTCCCTACCTGATGGACTTGTGAGGGGAATCTCTTAGCTTGAGATGAAAACCCCTTCTTTTCTTGATTTGTTATCACCACTGTTTGGTATTTCGTTGGTATTGAAGATGGAACCGTACAACCCAGAATCTTATCTGCTTTAAGATTTTTAAAAAAAACAAAAACATTATATCACTTTTTTAAAAGCTAAAAATGAAATTAAGTTTTCACTTAGACTCACTTTTATTAGATCCTCGGTACAAGTTCCCCATGGTTCAGATATCACGTAGAAACTCACTGCTCAAGTTAAATCTGAAGCCTTAGAAAAGTGTCCTCACAGATCATGTTGCCATGGCGACGTGAAAACAGAGGGTGGTTTGATTGTTTTTTTTTCTTTTATTAAAACTTTATTGTCACTTTTAATAGACTTAAGTCAAAAACTATAGTATAGAAATCCTAATGATAAAGGATAATATTATTCTTTTTTTTCTTTTATTAAAACTTTATTGTCACTTTTAACAGATGAAGTCAAAAACTATAGTATAGAAATCCTAATGATAAAGGATAATATTATTATTCCACTTTCAGCTTACATTAACATATAGCAGCAGAACAGTAATAAATAAACATAAAAAATGAAAATAAATAATAGTAATAAAAAATAAATAAATATAGGAAGACAATAATTAAAGTAATTTATTTTTAAAATAAAGCCACTTTTAAATTTAATTACATTAAAATTAAAATACATTAAAATTAAAAGTGGCTTTATTGCCAATATATATATATATATACAGATTAGTAAGAAAAATGAATTACTTTAATGATTGTCTTCCTATATTTATTTATCTTTTATTACTATTATTTATTTTCATTTTTTATGTTTATTTATTACTGTTCTGCTGCTATATGTTAAAACAGTCAATAAACCCACATTCATATTTCACATAAAAAAAAACAACAACAATCTCGTCGCATAGCAACCGCTGTGGTTCGACGGTTGGCGCTGACGTCGTCCCCCGCCCCCCCGCCCCCCCCCGCTGTCCTGTAGCGCCCTCTGTCGGTGCGGTGGCGGCGCAGCGGCCGTTCCTATAGCTACACGCACCAACCCGCCGCTGCTCGCGCTGCCGGAGAGAGAGAGAGCTAACGTTACCGTCCATCATGGCGATGCATGCGAAGGCGACTCCGCCGCAGATCCCGGACACCCGCCGGGAGCTCGCCGAGCTGGTGAAGAGGAAACAAGAACTTGCGGTACGCAGACGTGGCCGCAGTTTTATTTTTTGTTAAAATATATATATATATATAAATAATTAAAAAAAAAGCGACGTTAAGTGTTTTGAGTTGGGAATCACCGCGATCTGTAACTTTAATCCCAGCGTTAGCCTAGCCGAGGCCCAGCTAAGTGCTAAGCTAATGTTGCTAACGTCGCTTTGGTTTTAGGTGAGAGTGCTAATAGCTGCTGCTAACGTGGCTAACTCTGTATTAGCTATTGTCTAATGGTCGCTATCTAATGTTCATGTGCCTGGTTGTTTAACGACAGCACGCTTTACTAGCTTTTCGGGTACATTTTATTTTACATTATTCGCTTTTTGTTGCGTTGTTTTTTCTTTTTTTTCTTTTTTTTTTTTTATAGCGTTGTTTGCTAAATGTGCTAGCAGGTTAGCATATAGCTACATTTTAGCCGCCGCCCGCTTTGGTGGAGTTCTCGCGAGATCTTAGCTACACGGGTTCATCGGGATCAGACCAGAGCCCGTCTCTGATCAGACTTTATTGATCCCCCAGGAGGGAAATTGGTTGCGTTACAGTTGCTCAAGTTGCTAAGAAAAGCCCTTATGAGAGAAATAGTAATAAAACACGTTAAAATATGTGCAATAAATCACAATATATGAGAGTATATATATATATATATGTGTACAAATAGATAATTATTATTCAAACTATGCATATTACAGTATGCAACAGAAGTGTGATAAATAATTATGAGAACTAGTGATTCTAAGAACTGTATGCAGTATAATTGGAATATTAATGACAGTAAATCAGAGTATTGCACATTTTAAAGTCACGCAGAAACAAGATATCGCTTTTACGTTAAACTATTAGTTTATAGTCTCTCCTTCACCTGGCATTTCTTCTCTATCCTGATGGCAGCTAACGTTAATTCCTCTGTCTGTGCATCCCTGGCAGCAAAACAGTGTTATTATAGTTATAGTGTTAGAAACTAAAATTAGGTGTGGAAATACAGTTTAATTAACTGGAAATAATACTTTAGAAAAAAGTGGGAAAACTGAAACAATATTGCGTGCTTATGAAATGAACTAACATTAAAATATACAGGAAATGAGTTACCTGTAGTTTAGTTTTAGTCTTTGTCAGTTTGATTAGATTTTTCAACATAACAGGCATGAAGTAAGACCTATTCTTACAAATATCCCCCATATTATAATAAATAAAAACTACAAAACTATAATATCCTTGCAGCAAAATCACCAAAATGAAGAGTCAGACAAACATGCTTACACATCAGTCTGATCATCTCTGCACCACGATTCCTTTTTTCACAATTAACTTTGACCTTATGTCTTCAATATCTTAGGAGACGCTGGTGAACTTGGAAAGACAAATATATGCATTCGAAGGCAGCTACCTAGAAGACACCCAGATGTATGGCAACATCATCAGAGGATGGGACCGATACCTCACCAACCAAAAGTAAGTGTCCTATAATGTTACTCTCAGGCTGCCTGCAGGATTTTTTCATTTTCTCAAGTGTACGGAGGAGAAGCCATTACACTGGATGTCGAGCTGCCTATCTAACCATATTTCTGTAATTCAAACAGGAACTCCAATAGTAAGACTGACAGAAGGAATAGAAAATTCAAGGAAGCAGAGCGTTTATTCAGCAAGTCATCTGTCACATCGGTTGCAGTAAGCTCTCTCTCTCTCTCTCTCTCTCTCTCTCCTCCACACAATATATTGGTTACTCAGTTTCTGAATAAGAAAAGAACTGCGAATGCAACTGCTCTCTCTTGTTTCTGATTTGCAGGCAGTATGTGCACTCGGTGGGATACCGGATCACATGAACGAAAAACGTGAGTTGTTTTTGCAACTCTTCTCGAGCTGAGTTGGGGGAAAAAAGTGGGGGGGTAGTTTTTGGTACTTTTGTTTGTGACACTGAGTTTGTGATGTCGTTTATGTCAGGTGAGGCAGGCAGCGGCACAGAAAGCGACGCCTCTCCAGATCTCCAGAACCAAGAGAACGAGCCCAGCCAGGAGGATACGGAAGACGTGGATTCGACGCTGCAGGACCTAAAGCCCCAGAAGGCCGCCTCCTCCTCCTCCTCGGGCAGCCATCACGGGAGCCACAAGAAGAGGAAGAACAAAAACAGACACAGGTACATGATCAAGATTCAAGACCCTGTGTCTTAGCATACTGCTGTATCTCTGCTTCTTTTCCTCTCTGATTGTGCTGTTAATTGACTTCCAATTTCCAGATTTCTTGATTGAGAAGCTGAGGTTGTTCATAGCTGATCGGTATGTTTATGTGGGTTAAGCTGGAAGTTGGACAGCGTGTTTACGTGCTCTGTAGTAAAACCTGGTTACTGAACAATCTGTGTTTACATGCAGCAGTTCAGGTGAGATTTCCCCCCTACCCTGACTTTATTCTGGTACCACGGCTTCATTTTGAGGCATTCACGAAGCTTCTTTATGATTCAAATTCAGACCCTTCAAGATGACAGTCTGAATGTTACTCAGTCAGACTTGTATAGGAGCCACTTTGTGCAAGTTTCAGTCTGAAGATAATTTAATTTTGGATTCCAGGAAGTAGAGCTACGTGTAATAATCAGACAGTAGTCACTCAGCAAGTAGGGTTCGCATTTCAATCCCAGGCTCCTCCAGTCAAAGTGTCCTTGAATTAGACACTGAATCTCAGTAGCTCCTGATAGTTAAGTGAGCACCTTGTATGGTATCTCACTGACATTGGTGTGTTTGTTTGTTTGTTTGTTTGTGTACATGGGTGAAGAGGACAAATTGTAAAGTAATTTTCAATAAAAGCGCTATGTAAATTCATTCTGTTTATATCTGAATTAACTCTCTCTGCATCCTGCTGTCACTGAAGTGTTGGTCACGGTTGGTAAAAACCCAGTTACATATATACATTGACAAGAAATCATTTTTCTCCTCGAGAAATGTAGTCGGGGAGAGCGAGGTTTCTGTAATCTAACATGATATTGGACTGCAAGTTTCTTGACTTTTAATAAACCATAGAATACCACTTCCTTATTCTATGGTGGTAGTTCGCAGTGCCTTTGGCTTGTGACCCCCTAAAATTAAGCACTGCCTACTTGTGACCCCTCATCAGACCTTAAAGCCTTTGTATGAACATGAGCAGTTCAATTTTTTCTTTTCGTTTGAAGGACTTTTAGAGACCCAAAGAGGTCAAAGTGTCAAGTATTTCACAATAAAAATAACCCGTAGTGGTTCAAATATAAGACAACACTAATTGTATACAATACATATTAAATCTAATATAATATATTAAAATACTAGTTCAGTATAATATCTGGAAAAATTAAATTGTCTTATTTTTGGGCCAACGTGGTCTTTCTCATAACTTTATACCTTGAGACTCTTGGAGGATCCAACACGTAGTGAAACACTGACTTTGTAAATGCACTGATCGTTGGGAAGTCTTGTTTTATTATTATTATTATTATTATAAGAGTTAATGTACTTTGACTTGTTGTTATCCACTTTCACAATCCAAAGAAGGTCTTTTTAAGTCTCTTTTTCAGTCTTTAATGTCGCTGTGTTACCCACCTGTTTAACGTCAACCTGTTTTTCCTGACTCAGGCTACACTGTTTTTCACCACATGTTATTAACACAGCAGGTGCTCCACCTAACTCACTGTGAAGAAGTGGTTCTCTCACTCTGTAAAGTCTGGACTGCAGTTTAAGGGTAGACGTAGGGCTTTAGACCCAGGTTGGTGAACTAACAGCTGCTGCTTTCTTCCTTTCCTTAATGCTGCCCCCCTCCCACCCCCCCCCCCAGTCCTTCTGCCATGTTTGATTATGACTTTGAGTAAGTCTGAATTTTACTTCCTGCTCCTGTGGTGTTTGCATCCTGCCTGCTGTAAAACCCTCATCCTCAACTTTTCCACCGTTTTGTTCCCCTGCTCCCCGTCTGCTTCTGTTGACCTAGAGTTTGAGTTTAAGCCTGCCAGTTATTCAACCACACTTGCATGTCCAACACTTCATTCTTTAATTCTTGAATGCACATCAGCATCCAGCACTCTGAACTCGTCTTAGATATTCCTGCTTGTTACCGGGGTATTTTGATTTCTTTCCGACCCTAGATTCATTTCATGTGTGCGTCACCATTTCCAGCAATTCAAAAACAAACATTGCTGGTCTTGTCAGAGGCTGGGTTGGCTTCAGGTTTGCATACGAACAAGAACAAACACATGTTCATTTAGTGTTCTTGTTCTGAGCTTGTTTTTCAGGCTTGTTAATGATCCGTTAGTGGTGCCGCTTTTTGTTACCATAACTCCCACCAGAATGAGGTTTATGATCTGTTGATATCTAACGCAGCCTCCCTTTGTTTTTGTTGCAGATTTGACATGAAGGTCAACAAGAAACCGAGAGCTGTAAGTTGAGTTCATTTGTTTTGTTTATCTGAAAATACTGTTGTTGTTGTTGTTGTTATTGTGCTGCAACTAAGCATTGTGTTCGTTAGCAATTAAACTGGCTATTTTTTTTATTGAAAATGGCCATAATAATTTATTCAGACACATCACGTATGACAAAGAAAAGCATCAAATTCTCACATTTTAGAAGCTGGAAACAGCAACTATTTGTCATTTTTGCTTATAAATGAGTCACTAGTCAACAATTAATCAGGTAACAAATTGCTGATTCATTTTCCGGTCCCTCCAGGAGCTTCTGATCTCAATAATGAACACAAATCCAACCAATCACTGTGAATTCTGTGTAAATTTGTCATAGCAGTGCCTTGAAAATGTTGAACCATACATCACCAAACTACTACCGATTTCATTCTCACTCACAAGTTGCCTTCTTGATTTGTAATTATTTATATAAAAAAGTATTCACAACACAGCTGTGAAATGAGGCATCTTAGGCCACAACAATCCCCCCCAAAAAAGGCTGCGACATCCTAAATGTTCTGGCGATTGATTGTTGCTCCTCTGACCGCAGTCGCTGTCTTTACTTCAGTGACTTATATGTAATTCTTTGTCCTCTGTCTCTTCCTGCAGGATTATTCAACTTAACAGAGACGACTGGAAGACCTGAACACACACGAGGATACACATAGAGAAACACAAGATTTCTGGACTTTGTGAACTTTTTATGCCTTTTTTTTTTTTTTTTTTTTTTAGTCTTCATATTTCAGCCTGTACCGTGTGTATTGCTTGAAACATTCCCACGCCACCTACCTTTGGTCACGGTTAAGACTTTTGACCTGCCAATACAGTAGAAATATGGTGTTGCATGTTACTCTCGGCCCTCAAGAGGCCCCACCTCCAGTAACACACCATCTTGTATAGTGTTAAAAAAAAAAAAGATTGTATTTATTATGTAGTTAATTTCCTTGTTTCCCATTGTAAGAAATTTGTTTTGCTTCTTGTTAAGCGTCACATATTCATATAAACTCCCGAATACCCCGGATTCTTTTACTACATGGTTTGTTTTTCAAAAAAATAAAAAAAATACCAGTAAAGTGAATATGTTTTTGATATTTATTAAAATCTTTCAGTGACGGCAGTGCTTTGCATCACTCATCACAGCACTTAAAGGGTTGTTGGATGTTGTGAACTGGCTGTTGTTTCTTGTGTGAATCTGCCAGAGAAACATTGAAATTGAGCAATTATTAGATGGAGTTCCCACAGACACTCACGCTCCATAAACTACATTATGGAAGAGTCCAAATATTATCAGTGTTTACCTTATTATTACAGAGAATAGCCAGCGCATTCTCTTCTGACAGCTCTCCGTTTGTTTTATGAAAATAGTTACTTAAGTAAACAGGCCACTCGGAGCACGAGCCGATGACAGCACCGCTACACAACGTTGTCTGGCTTTTGTCAGTCGTAAACTTGTAATATGTGGTGCTTTTTAAACAAATAGACGATTTAAACACTTTGAAAGTTGTTTCTTTTATACTGTATACTGACAATAAACGTTTCAACTTTTAACACTGTTTTAATCTAAATGTCAACTTGCAGTATCCTAAATGTTCACTAGGCAGCGCCAAAACACATGTTTAGATACACTGAAAGTAATGACCTTATTCATTTTACATTTCATGTTTTCTTTAGTTTGTTCACTTATACTTGCAGTTTGTCACAGCTGCTGTTTTAACATGAAATTATACCTTAATTAATATTGATAACAGCTGTGTTTCCCTATTACTTCATGTCAAAATGGCTGCTGTAAAAAAGGTCTATAATTAGTTTTTTAAAATTTAATCTATGTGAACAACTTAAACTTGTACCATTAATTCATACAAATTTAATACAAGCAGGAGTGTTTTATCAGTGAGCACAGACAATACAATACTGATGATAATGGAACTGTAATTATAGCACAAAAAGATGCAGTGTAATGTTTTTTTACAGAAGATAAAAGCACAGAACGACTAAAAACATTAAAAACAGAAATAAAAGTGGTAGTAAATAATCACTACTGTCGGTGAGGTTAGATATAAGCTTTAGGTTTTTCTCATATAACAGCGAGGAGGTCACTGATGTAGTTTTTTAACAGGTGTTTAGTGAGAGAAGTTGAAGCACATTTTCCATCTTTGGAGCATTATTTAGCCCCTCTCCAGACATGCTAGTGTGACATGGGTGGTACAGATGGATGCGTCAGCTCATCTATTTTTCATATGATATTCAGCTATAGCTTCTGAAAGACAGTGCGGAGTGGAAGAGGTAAAGATAATGAGGTGGTCAATCAGATTTCAGGGGTGGTATATAGCATATTTCCCAAAATGTCAAACTATTCCTTTCAGGTCTTGGTGAGCCATTCCTCTATCCTCCTCCTTTTTTGGGGGGGATTAAAACCTGCATATTTTAAAAGCTCCTTCACCTCAAAGTAACTCAAAACTGAAAGTATTTGAATTTTGCAATGACTTGCACATTAGTCACGACTGGGCTGAAACATCGCCACGTGGGGGGATGGAGGCCGGCGCCCCCGAGGAATCAGAGCTGCTGACAAACACATATGATGGAGAGACTGACTGGGAAGAGTCCATCCCAGGAATGTGCTCCTCGGTTTGATGCTGCTCCACCAACGCTCCATCCCAGAGTCACATTTCATCTCGTATGAATGACACGATGACTTGTGTACTGCTCTATTTCTCCAGCAGTCAGTTATAGCATTATGGGCCACCACTTTGGTTCAGACTGAAATATCCCAGCTGATCTCACACGTTGTGTATAACTTCTATAAGTTTGCTCAAGCAGCAGTAAAGTTTATGTGATTGGTTTTTAGTGAAATATCTCAATCTTAGGATGGATTGCCATGAGCTGTGGTAGAGACATTCGTGGTCCCAGGAGGATGAATCATACTGACTTTGGTGATCTGCTCACCTTTCATCTAATTCAACCTGCTGGTGAAAGTTTTCACTCATTACTTTTCGACATCTGCCGGAGAGATTAGCATAAAAGTGTTGTACAGACATGCATGGTCACGAGATTCTTCGACTTCTCATTCAGGGTCACGATCATGGATGTGTTAAAGAGAACTGGATACAGCGTTGGAGGCACATGAAGCCAAAAAAGGAAGCCTCTTCCCACTGTAAATAAATTACCCAGATGAATGCATAAATAAAGAAATGTATGCACTGTTTTACAGCAGCTTCTTTCACAATATAACCGTATGGGGAAAAGTGTGCATCATGTGAGTGACACCGTTGCTGTAATTACACAGTTGGGCCACTATGTCAAATTGACTCTTCCTGGGAGCTTGTTCACTATTAGGCCTTTTCCACCGGTCCGTGTACCTAGTTTTAAACCATTGAGCATTTCTACCAAACATAAATTGGCTCT